TTGCCTCATCTTCCTTCTGTGGAGCAGCTGGTGGGTTTGCACTGCTGACCTTCTGGTTAGCAGCCAAATGCCTTACCCACTATGCCATCTGAATTCCTTAATGGGCATATAGTATATGAATATTTACAGCAATTTTCTGTATACATCCACAAACTCTGATTTTACTTGTTGGATGTTTACTTTGTCCTAAACAAATATGCTGAGCTCTGATAGCATAGTGCCTAAGGCACTTGACTGCGAACCAGAAGGCTGGAGGTTCAAACCCACCAGCCACTCCTCGGAAGGAAGATGGGACAATCTGCTTCCGTAATGATACTTACTCGGAAACCCAAGGAGGGGTCGCTATGAGTCAGGTCTGACTCAACGACACATAACAACAACAACAACAACAAACAAATATGCCAGTTTAGAAACTATGTTAATGTTCAAATTCCATATATTTTTAGTGCCTGAATATAAAAATCTTAAGTACTGAATTTTAATTCTAGAAATGAAGTTGCATTCCTGTAATTTTTTTTTAATCAACTAAAGGTTTCTATTTTATTCCTAGGAAGTTCACTTAGATATACAAATCAAACCTCACACCTTTTATGATGAATCCTTGAGAGGGTGATCAGCTTTCCCACTGTTACAACTTAACCCAGAGACTAATCAGCTCTCTACTTTACAGATTGCCTCCGTCGCTGGTCAATATCAGCCTCCATGTTCATTAACCATCAATGACTTCTTCATGAGGCAGCTTACAATTTAATTTCAGCTGACATTTGTTAAGCATCTTAAAAACCCAGGGAGTATGATAATAGGTATGATCCTATTGTTTTAAGTCCTGTTTTGGTTACCTAGTGCTGCTCTGACAGGAATATACCACAAACGGGATGGCTTTAACAAACAGCAGTTTATTCTCCTACAGTTTGGAGGCTTTAAGTCTGAGTTCAAAGTGCCAGGCTCTAGGGGCTGGGTGAAAGCCCCTCAACCTTGGGCTCTACCTCCTGCTCCTGGCCCACTGGAACTAGAGGCTTTTCTTCACTCAGCTGCTGGCTGCTGAGACTGACAAGCCCAAGGCTGACAAATAAAATGGCACAGTCCTGATATTACCGAACCACACAGCAGGCCATTCATTCAAGCCCACTGAAAGTCCCAGGGTCAGCAGAGCATGGCAGGCTGCTGAACAGCAACATGGCTACATGCAGGGTCCAAGTATTCCATAAGCTAGAGACCATTCCCAAAGCTATTTCTTATATACGGGAAGCAGACCACATACCCAAAGGCAGCTACTCAGCTGCTCCCAGTAGATTCCACCATGGAGTTGATTGCCAGTCTCATCATGGGGAATAACTACCACCAGCTGCCCAGCCACTCAACCAGGCCAGCCAAGTTGACACACAACCTTAACTACCACAAGTCCTGTGGGTTTGACATTAATATCTCCATTGTATAAAGGGGTAAATTTCAGCTCAAAGAATGTAATAAACTTTCCAAAGTTAGTCTATCCAGTGGCTAGCTATTCAAGTCATTTGATTAGTTGATGAAAGGAATTTCTCCCAGCACAATATTTCTAAGTAATGGGGAAGAGTAGGTAGAAGGACAACTTGCAACAAAGAAGACTTACAGGTCACTCACTGCCTCTTGTAAAGTGGTAGTGCTCAAAGTCTCTCTGAAGTGGGTTATGTAGTGGACCCAATTCAAGGTCTTTGAGGAAATCAAACATTTTACAACATACTGATATTGTTATTTGCAGTAGAGTCAGTGCTAGCTCCTAGTAACACAATGTATTCAGAGTGGAATTGCTCCACAGGGTTTTCAAGGCTGTGACCTTTGGGAAGCAGAGTGCAAGGCTAATCTTTCAAGTCATGTCTCAGTGGTTTGAATTGCCAACTTTTCAGTAGTTATCCAGCACTTAACCATTTGCCCTATGGAGGGACTCCTTGTAGGCATATAAACCACAAACCCCCTGGAAAAAAAAAAATGTGCCATTGAGTAGATTCTGACTCATAATGATCCCTGTTGGGTTTCCAAGGCTTATCTGCCCCTAGTAGCGTAGTGCCTAAGGCACTTGACTGCTAACCAGGCGGCTGGCAATTCAAACCCGCCAGCCACTCCTCAGAAGGAAGGTTGGGCAATCTACTTCCATAGTGATACTGCCTCGGAAACCCAGGGAGGAGTCACTATGAGTCGGGTCCAACTTGATGGCACATAACAACAACACTTTGACAGTAGCTAGTAACTGAGCATCAACTAATCAATAGGATTAGATTCTTTACAATTACTATTCTACTTGACTAATGGTGTGAAAAGGAGCTCTGGTGGCATAGTGGATAAGGCACTTGACTGCAACTCAGAGTGTCAGTGGTTCAAACCCACCAACCACTCTGTGGAAGGAAAATGGGCCAATCTACTTCTGTAAAGATTTACAGCCTCAGAAACCCAATGGGGGTCACTATGAGTCAGAATCAACTTGGTGGAAGTGAGTTTGGTTTGAGAGTTAATGGGGTGAATTGCTGTTGTCAGTTGCCATAGAACTGGCTCCAACTCATGGCAGCCTTACGTATAAAAGAATGGCCCAGTCCCGTGCCATCTTCATGATTGCGGGTATGTTGACTGCATAATTGCAGCCATGGTATTAATCCATCTCATGGAGGGATTCCCTCATTTTTTCTGACTCTCTACTTGACCAGACATGATGCACTTTTCTAGCAATTGGTCTTTCCTGGTAAGATGTCTAAAGTAAGCAAGGTGAAGTCTCACCATACTCATTCCAAGGAGCATTCTGGTTATAGTTCCTCCAAGATGGCTTTGTTCATTCTCTGGCAGCCCACAAGATAGATATTATGCATAAGTATATGCCAGAAAAGTAGATGACCTCGGTGAAATGGACAAATGAACAGAAATATGCAAGATACTGAAACTCAAAAAGAAACTGAAAATTTCAGTAGATCTATAGAAAGTAAAGAAATGTAGTGCCTAAGGCACTTGACTGCTAACCAGGAGGTTGGCAGTTAAAACCCACCAGCCACTCTGCAGAAGGAAGACTGGGTAGTCTACTTACATAAAATTTACCATCTCAGAAACCCAAAGGGAGTTGCTATGAGTTGGAATCGACTGGATGGCTGTCAGTTTTGTTGTTGTTGTTGTTGTTTTTGTTTGAAACTTCCCACAAAGAAAAGCTCAGGACCAGATGGTTTCACTGATTAACTCTCCTGAAGGTTTTAAGAAGAAGTAATTATCCAAATAATAGAAAAAGAGGGAACACTCTTTACGGCCAATATTATCCTGATAACCAGAGTCAGAAAAATGTTTAATGATGAGTGAATGCTACAGAACAATATCCTTCCTGAATATATATGCAAAAATTCTCAACAAAATAGTAGCAAACCAAAAACAGAGTCTATAAAAAGGATTATATGACACAGACCTTCACAGCCTACTCTGACAACCAACCTGGTTGTCAACTTATGATTGAGTTCATAAGTACTCATTCAGATTTATGAAGGTGAACGTGCCATGACCAAGGATAAAAACTTGTTGGCAAGTTTGAGTGCCCTGGCATACCTTCTGCACCATGTGGTGTTCCTCAGATTGAAGTCACTTTTGATATTGATGCCAATGGCATCCTTAATGCTTCTGCTGTGCATAAGAGTACTGGAAAAGAGAACAAGATTACCATCCTAATGACAAGGGCTGCTTGAGTAAAGAAGACATTGAGTGGATGGTCCAGGAAGCTGAGAAGTACAAAGCTGAAGATGAGAAACAGAGGGATAAGGTGTCTTCTAAAAATCTGCTTGAATCCTATGCCTTTAACATGAAGGCAACAGTTGAAGATGAAAAACTTCAAGGCAAGATCAATGATGATGACAAACAGAAGATTCTTGACAAGAGTAATGAAATTATCAACGGACTTGATAAGAGTCAGATGGCAGAGAAGGAGGAATTTGAACATCAGCAGAAAGAGCTGGAGAAAGTCTGCAACCCCATCATTACCAAGCTGTACCAGAGGGCTGGAGGCATGCCTGGAGGAAAGTCTGGGGGCTTCCCTGGTGGTGGAGCTCCTCCATCTGGTGGTGCCTCCTCTTGACCCACTACTGAAGAGCTTGATTAAGCCAATCTCTTTAGCATAGATACCTTAGCATTGTTCCATGGTAAATTGAAGGACCCAAATTTGTAGCACATTCAGTGGCAGTTTTAAAAGTTGAACTGTTACACTAAATTTCTAGGGATTCTCAATACTTGAATACAGAATATGTGCATAGGGAAAGAAAGTAACATTGTGCTTTACTAGTACTGTATTATAAGTGGAAAATACAATGTCTTAAATAAAGCTGTCTTTAAAGTTGGCACACACACACACAAAAAGGTTTATATGCCCAGAGCAAGTAGGATTTACCAGTAATCCAAAGTTAGTTTAACATATGACAATCATTTATTGTGATATATAAATAGAATAAAGAAAAAAACATGTACAATTATCTGATACAGAAAATGTATTTCACAAAATCAACACCTTCTTATGATAAAAGAAATCAAGAAATTATTAATAGAATTGAATTTATTCAACATGGTAAAGAACATCTACAAAAATGTCATAATTAACATCATAGTTAATGGTGAAAAGTGAAAGCTTTCCTGCTAAGATCCGGAATAAGACAAGAATGGTCACTCTCACCACTTCTATTCAATATTGTACTGGAGGTACTAGCCAGGGGCAATTAGGCAGTAAATTGAAATAAAAGGCACCCAGATTTGAAACAAATTAGGTTGTTGTGCAATCTTCTGGATATACTAAAAACATGTCTGTATACAATAAAATAGTAAATTTTATGGAATATGAATTATATCTCTTTTTTTTTTTTTACATAAAGCCATTGGAGAATCTTTTTGCTTGTTTAGAAAGGAAAGAAATGAAAAAAGAAGAAAAGTCTAATGATTCTTCCCTGAATTGCTTCCCTTTTCCCCATATGAAATGATTTTATGTCATGGCTTACTAGTTTCTATTTTGTCTCTAGCTCACTCAGAGAAACATGAGGAATCAATTACCTTGGGAAGCCCAGATTCCCATGCTATTAGTGAGGGACAAAAGTCTTCAGGAACTTCCAAACCAACAAGGAAAGGCAAGGAGAAGTTTTCTGAGAAAGAAAAGATGGCCAAAGAAAAACCAGCACCTCGCTTTGAGCCTCAGGTGAGTGTGGAACTTCATCTTGTTGGAGTTATGTAAAGAAATTAGGCTCATTGGGTCTCTATTTGACCATGTTTCCTGAGAAAAAAAATCCCATCTGCCTGATTGCAACAACCATCTAGATGAGATGCTTAAGGACATTCCATGGACTCCTTCCCCAAGATCTTTTCCCAGTCAGTTCAGTTCAGTATCCATGGAATATTTACTATGTAGGACACTGTTCTTAGGACTCAGGTTTTTAAGATAATATGGTACAGTCAAAGAATTCACAGTATACTGGGGAAGACTGAAGGTGAACAGTTCAATGTTACAGGTTGGTTGTACAGAAAGTATGGGTACCTAATCCTGCTTGTTGCAGGAGGATCACTGTCCTGAACTGAGTTTTATGGGATGAATGAGAGTTACCCAGACAAAGGTTTTGGAAGAGAGAGGTGGAGAGAAATGCATTCCAGTATGAGAAAACAGTATGAGCAAAGACATGCGGAGGTAAAAACCAACTCAGTCTGGATTTTGAAACATTAAGCATAAGAGATGAGGCTGGAAAAGTAATTAAAGGTCAGATGGAGGAGTACTTATAAGACCCATTAGACGAATGGGACTCTATCTACAGTCCAGAGGTAATGATCGCCAACTCCTTCAGTTGTCCCAATAATTATGGGGAGAAGAGGTATGAGTGGTAATTTGGGGAGTCCAAGCACAGAGCTACAGGTATTCAAACTCAAAGTATGTAAAAACATTGTACCTGAAACAAAATACCTAAGAGGACAAAATCTTCCCACTGTTTGTGATTTCAAAAACCAAACCAGTTGCCATGCCTTGAGTCAACTACAACTCATGATGACACCATGTATTACAGAATAAAAGTGTGTTCCATAGGGTTTTCAAGGATGTGACCTTTCAGAAAAGGAGCTCTGGTGCATATGAGTAAGGCATTTGGCTGCTAACCAGAAGGTTGGCAGTTCAGACCCACCAGCACCTCCATGGGAGGAAGATGAGGCAATCTACTTCCATAGATTGGAAACCCAAGAGGGGTCGCTATGAGTCAAAATCGAGTCTGTGGCAGTGGGTTTGGGCTTGAACTTTTCAGAAGCAGGTCACTAGGCCCTTCTGAGATATCTCTGAATAGATTTGAACCACCAACTTCTCAGTTGTGTGCTTAACCATGTGGTCCACTCGGGACCATTTGTGATTACTGCACAGGAAAAGCAGGTAGTTTTTTAAGAAGTAAGTTGACATAATCAGAGTTACATTTCAGATACAGAAATGTGATAGGATTTAAGGGGGACAGAACTAGAGGTGGGGAAACTATTCAAGAAAGCACTGTGGTACTCCAGGCAAAAGAATGCAAACTGTACAAAGAAAAGGTCAAAAGAAGAAAAGAAGGGAGCAGATGAAGAATTATGTAGGAAACAAGTGGGAGATGTAACTGGAAATATGCAGCTGGAACAAGAAGTAACAAAGGAGATTTCCCAGGTTTCCGGCTTGATTCACTAAATAGCATGTTGGTACCACCAGTGAAATAGACAATAAAGGAATGTTAACAAATTAGGAGAAGAGATACTCACTCAGTTGCTCATACCTCTATAATGGAAAAACCTGTCCATTTACATCTCCAAGATTTTATTTCTTAGCTGGCTTCTACCCTTGGACACATTATTAATTAACTAAACTTGACACAATCTCCAACTTCCTAAGAAATGCTTGATCCTTATATAATAGAGCTAATGAGAAAAGGTTAATGTAACTTCTTAGCCACAGCCAGACACCTTGAGGGGATGAGTCACTGGACACACAGGTCTGGACCATGGTCTCAGGGGACATCAAGCTCAATTGGCATAACACACTGCACAAAAACATGGCTCTACATCCTACTTTGGTGAGTGGCACCTGGAGTCTTAAAAGCTTGCAAGCGACTGTCTAAAATGCAACAATTGGTCTCTCCTCTTCCAGATCAAAGAGGAATGAAGAAAACCAAAGGTACCTACAAACAATTAGTCCAAGGAACTAGTGCACCTTGCAAGCCTCAGCCTACATGACCTTGAGACCAGAAGAACTAGATGGTGCCAAGGCACCACTTTCAACCACTCAGAAAGGGATCAGTGTAGGAGATGGTGGATAGAGTACGAGAAAAAAATGTGCAACAAAACTAAAAATTCATTAAAAAAAAAAAAAAACAGGATTACTGCTTTGATAGAGACTAGTGAAACCCCTGAGACTATGGCTCCTAGTCACTCTTTGGGCCTGGAATTGAACTCACTCCTGTGGCTTCCAGCCAAATGATAGATAGGCATATAAGGTGAACATTTATACCAGGTAAGTACACTCCTTAGAATAATCAACCATGGGAGATCAAAAGGACAGTATTTGCCAGGAAGATAGCTCAGTGGGCAGGAATGCATAGGAAAGAAGGACACAGGGTATAAAAAGGTAACCCACAGGAAGGAAGTGGGAAGAGAACTCTTACATTATGGGGATTGCTATCAATGTCATGAAACAAAATGTGTATGAACTGTTGTATGGAGAATGAATTTGCTCTGCAAACTTTCACCCAAATCACAATAAAAACAAAAGAAAGAAACACTTGACCCTCTCTTAATACTTGTAAAGTGCTCCTTTCCCTGATCAAAACTTAATCTCAAAGAAGTTTCTGATAAACTCATTTATTAAGAATTTTAAAAGATAGATAAATGCTAATATACTGTGTTTCAAAAAGAACTGAAAGAATTTCTGATTGTGAGAGTTTAGTTCTCATCAGATAATTAGTTAGGAGTAAATCTTGGTAGCACAAGAGATTTGTGGTCAGCTTCTAAACTAAAGGTTGGCAGTTCAAACTTACGCAGAAGCTCCATGGAAGAGAGGCCTAGTGGTGAATTGCTTCTGTAAGATAACAGCCAAGAATACCCTGTGGAGCAGTTCTACTGTGTAATACATGAGGTCACCTTGAAATGGGGGCCAACTTGATGGCAGCTGATGACAACAGCTTTGTAGGAAGCAGGAGATCTTTTGGGTAACACTGAAACCAAACTAGCTGTGAAAACTTTACTCAGTGGCAGTCTCTGCCTTCAAGTGCATTGTTAAAATGGATAACTGACATTGTCTGAATCTTAGCTAAATGCTATGTTACTCTATCTAGTTCAAGCCTCTTTTCCTACCAGATTGCCACATGTAAACCTAATCTATGTAGACATTTTGAAGCCTTATGTCACCAGTGATCCAGAAGAGGGATAGTGAGCATATGTCGAGTATATCCAGACCTGGAAATAATGATACTATTCCCACTCTCATTTTTATAATAAAGTACTATGAGTGGACATAAGTGAATTCAGAATTCTTATTGTTTACAATTTTATTTAGTATTTGCATATCTGTTGCTGTCAAAATTCCAATGTATAGAGACCCCATAGGACAGAGTAGAACTTTCCCATATGATTTCCAAGGCAGCATAGTGGGTAAGACATTTGGCTGCTAACCAGAAGGTTAGAGGTTCAAACCCAC